CCCCCTGTTGACAGGCCCCTGCCACGAGCAAAGGCATTGACAGGCTTGTTGCAATCATCCAGGCAGGTCTCATAAGATTTTGTGCAGGAGGTCCCTGGTGATCACAGATGTCCCGGAGAGGCTTTTTTCTAACACCGTGTTACAGGAAACCATTGCTATAGTCCAGTCATATCACAGAAGCCTCATAAAGTAGGGCTGGAAGGGACCTTAGGAAGTCACAGCGATTCCAACTCCTTGCTCGCGGAAGGACAAACCAAGCGTTTCTCTGAACAGCTCTTAAAACTTTCAAAAAAGCCTCCTCAGAGCTGAGATCAGGGTCCTTCCTATGTGACAGACCTATTTCCATGCTCAGCCACCCAGAATCCTCTGGGTGATCCTACTGCTTGGTGACAAAGACACTGCCAGAAGCCCAGGAGAAAAGGTAAAGTATAGACACAGCCACAGACACCAATTAAAAGAGCATTTCCAATAGCACAGTAACATCTTGCTTGTAGAGACCGATGGAGTAATTCTGCAGCTGGTTCCCTCCTTCCTCAGAGGTCTTAAAGAGCAGCACTGAAGACCCAGTCGTCTACTGAGAGTCCTGACAAGATCTTGGGGCTTCATCCCAACCCCCTGCCTGTGTAGGGTGCATTTAAAGCCACTTGTAGGGCTAATGACAGAACACTAGGGGACACAAGAAATTTGGGGCTGCAGTGCCCTGCTGCTACACTCAGCTCTGTATCTCCTTCATCAAATCCAGATTTGGGGATTTCAATACCTTCCCCCATGACAGAAAACTGGCCCAAAGGAGAAGGGCTGCAGCTTTACCTTAACAAGGCACGTGGGAAAGTTTCTGTCAGGGAGAAGTACGTGAGCTGCAGGAGGAGCTACACCACTGACACAGTGTGCGAGGCCCTCTGGAAGGCATTGCTTCCCTGGGATTCTCAGGTTGCAGCTGAGCCCTGCCATGCCTGCTATCATCTGCAGCTGGATTGCACCACTGCAGTGGGCCTTAAGCCTTGTCTCTGTACTTACCACCACTACGCCAAGGCGCTGGAACGTGTACCAAGAAAGCTGTTTGGAAGGTTTGGCTGGTGCATCGTGAGGTTGCAGCTTCCTGAGCAAGGAGGGTTTCTCCCCTGACGCAGGTACAGAACAGTTGGGGGCTCCAATATCTCCACTGGGTTTCTTGGCTTCCAGGTGTAGATACCTGTGGCTGTCAGACTGCAGTCACCTGGGGCCAACCTAACACTTGGGACCACAACTAAGTCAATTAAGATGTGATGTATAACCCTTTCTGCAACCGGTCAGGGGACGGACATACAAGGAATTTGCCTCACGACAAAAGAGGACAAGGCTTTATGTTTCAGTCATTTCACTGTAATTGCCCATGTGCACACTCTTACCTGTCAGTAAAGCAAAATCTAAAACCACAGCAGCTTTACCCTTTCTGAAAGGGAACAAGTTATGAAGACTAGCTTCCACTTAGGGAGGAGCAAGAATGTGTACGTGGGCAGTTATCACCGAGTGACTGATGGGCAGTGAAGCCATGCCCTTTTTGCCTTGTTTGTACATCTATACCCTCCGAGGTGAGCAGATATCGTTCTCCAAAGAGAAAGCGTGCTGTATGAAATCCCTTCCGCAATTCCAAACTCGGTGTTCTGGCTACAACAATTGTAATGAGAAGTCTGACAAACTGTTTGAAACCTTAATCACTTGTGAAACTCATACAAAAAAAGTGAAAGCTTTTCCTTTATAAAAATAGGGAGAAGCTGCAATTAGGGTCGTGACAGTTTCTGCACGGCTTTTGTATCATTTTAGTAACTAAGGCTTTTCACTTGAGGCTCCGGTTTCCGAACAGGCTGAACCTCCACAAAAGAAAACTATTTTGACTCCCGAAGAGGAAAAGCAGGCAGCTCTTCTGGGCACTGCTCTCTGAAGAGTGCAAGAATGACATTTCTTCCTCTTCCCGTACCATCTCCATGAACATAGTAGTCTACCCGGAAAGAAGGATGCATCCAGAAAAGTCAAAGGTGACAGCAGGCCACTGATCAGTCCTTGCTGAAGGACACCACCAGGCTGACCTGTACCGCAGTAGGGAAGGGATTTGCATTGTTCTCATAAAGTCCTCCCTTCACTTTGGCCAGTTCAACCAAGCTGCCAAATTCTGCTCCTTCAGGACGTGATTCCTTTTATATTACTATGATTACATGAAGTCATATGGCTGCCTTCAGTTCTGGGATTCCAGTTACTCTTTAAATACTTGTACAATGCCCTGTATACTCAGTGTGCAAGTCATAAGCTGCAACAACACCGTGCGTACTCTGGTAAGATCCGACTGAAAACCAGCAGATAAGCCAACCTGTTATCAAAGTGTTAGCATGTTCTAGCCTCAAACATCATTCTCTAACAGTGCCACACTTTTGACTGATGGTAAAGAAACTGGCATCTATTCTGGTGCCAGTTCTCAAATAAAAATGGAGTGCCAGTCTCAGTGGCCTTTGACAGCACAACCACAAAAACACAAGAGTCTGGCTTTCCATGAATGTGTAGTACAATCTATCAAATAGCTGCCAAAAGAATTTGCCATCATGCAGCCAGGCCACAGCTCTACACAGCACGTATCTGTGAAGGCTTTGGTTTATTTTACCTGGTTCGCTTAAGTTATGATCTTTTGCTGCATGTCTGTGGGGCCAGGACACTACCTTGTCCTCGGGACTTCCAGCTTCACGTCTCATCTATACATGCCCAAAGAGAGAGCCACAGGAGAGACGAGAGTGAAGCGACAGAATGGCTTGGGGAAAGCAAGACTGCCCACCCAGTCGCTGAGACCGGATGAACTCCAGAGGAAGGAAACTTTTGCTTGGGGTAAACTCTTTTTATTTATGCTGATAAAGATTTGCTACTGCTCCAGGGCCTTGCCTATTTATCGCTATTTTATTTCTCCCGAGTCTACCCCACCAGCTGTGTGCAGTGGCATACTTTGTAAGAGTAATGAGGTCTTCGTAACAGATGATTAATCACAGTGCTGCCTCCGCCATTTAAACTCTGCTGAAAAGTAGGACCAGACTTCTGAGACTCATCAAATGTGTGGATCAGTGGTTTTACTGTACATGCAGCCAACACAGCCCAAAAACTTAAATGAACAAAAAAGCTTAATTGTAAAGTCCCAGAGCTGCCTGGGGAAAGAAAAAGAAACCCCGCCCCTTCTAAAAGAAATCACCAAATAATAAATACATTAAAAATGGGTGACATGCTATTATGAGCCCCTGTTATTACCGCAGATGTATCAGTAACAAAAGAGCAACAGCAGCGTATGTTCTAGGCACCTGAATAAGCTCGCCTCTTTTCAATCCTGCCGAAACATCTTCCTTTGACAAGTAAGCTTCAAATATATTCTTCTTCCTCCCTCTGCCAGCTTTATTCCGATTCTTCCGGTCGCCTGGGGTGGAGACAGCAGCATGGGCCATTCCTACAAACGGATACAAATCCACACATCACCTTTCGAACCCGAGTCCATTTGTGTACTTCAACCGCGGTTATACGGAGCCTTTCTATTCAAGACTAAACTTTTGAGAGCAGCCTGCTGAGGTGACAGGCGCACAACATGCTTCAAGACTAGAGTGACCATATATTACAAACAGTCCTTCACTGCTCCTTTCAGATTTGAGAACACAATACCCCAGGCCACCTTTTAGCAGTGTCAGAGCATGTATTTCAAAGCAGCATGTTTCTGAAGTGCATGTACGCTTTGCCTGAATACCTCTGGGTGTTCCCAGTTGTCTAGGATTTACTCGGCAGTCTGAATTGCTCACTGTTTCTATCTGAGATTCAGAGAGTTGCCTCTTCCTATCCAGGTGCTGGGGAGCTCTGGCTGATTCAGAGTTGTTTCTGGTCCTTATAAAGACTCTCCTTTCCCCACCTGAAATGAAACACAGGTTTGTAATGGAGGACGAGAAAAAAAGGACACTTCCCACATTATTATCCATGGTAGATATGCATATTCAGAGAGTCCGAATACGAGCCACACTTATGGGCCACGTTCTCAACCCCAAAGAAAAGTCATCTCCAGTAGTTCGTTATTCCAGTAGCTCACTTGCAATCCCATGTTGGCTCTTCATGCATCCTCATTCCCCCACTAACTTATTTTAGCATAAACTAAACTCTGGAAACTCGTAGATTAATATTTGGATACACCCCCTCTTCCAAAATCCTGGGAAATTCATTAGCCTCTTGGTTTGTTTGTGTGACTGGTTTCAAAGCCCTCCTCAAACCCCCAGGTAGCAAGGAGATGTAAATCCATTCTGAATTACACGAAGAACAAACATGGTAGTATTAGAAAGAAAAAAAAAAAAAAAAAAAAAAAAAAAAAAAAAAAAAAAATCAACGTGCTTTGGATAATTAATTCTGTTGCTACTAGAGGAAGAACACTGAAACCTTTGTTCACTTGCATATACCGACACTGGGTAAAGAGCTAGCAGGAACCGAGTCCTGTCTGCTTAGAAAAGGCCACAATCTTTTGCAAAGGCTTACCTTACCTTTCTCTGCCCTCAACCTCAGACTTGCCTGCAGCCTGGCAGGCAAGCAGCAGCTTTAAAAGCTTATGCCAGCACTGTTCCCTGGATGGAAGAGGAAATGTGAGGCAATACAGCTGCCCCTTTGGCCTTCCACCTGGATATTGAACATGTCATCGCAGCTTCGCCTTCCAGCCCGTTGGCTGCAGGCCCAGAAGCTAAGCTCGTACCTTCAAGTCTGAAAAATGTATGGCGGCCGACCGACTTTGTTAATGGTCTGTCCGAGGTCCAACGCAATTTTACAGTGTATGGCATCCCTTACAAACTCAGCCCCCTAAATTGTTCTACAGAAATAAATAAACGGCAGAGGGGAAAGATATTAAGAGGTACGGACAAGGGAGAAAAGATGTATGTTTTCAGGGGAGATTCGAAATATGACGGTGAGCTACGGAGACTGCGCTTCTCCAGCGGCAACTGGTGGTAACAACCTCCCACACCCAGAGCGGCCAAGTAGAGAGGAGCAAGGCAACTAAGACGGGAGAGCGAGAAAGAAAGAAGTTGGCTCAAGCAAGCCCATGGAAAGTTTAAATGCAAGAGCAATCATTTTGCATTACATCCAGAAACAAAATGAGGAATCTGTGGTACAGCTTGACGGTGAGGAGAGGAGGACTCTCGTGGTTTCTTCATATCCGACAAGGCACTTTGCATGCACTTCAGCTTGGAGAGAATGGCTTTGAGACACAACCGGAAAGAGAGCTGCAACTGCAATGTAGCCTGACTGAAACCACAGATTGAGGTGTAAGAGAGGCAATTATGTACACGGACGGTGTTATGGGGTGGAGGCTTGCAAACACACAGGAGATTCGAGGGAAAGATACCAAGTTACACACACCTTTATATTGAGCTGCCACCGGGGTAGAGAAAGCGAACTTCAGGATGTCATTTGTTGCAACAAGATTCAAGAGTTACCTTTGTGATACTACAACCATGGGGTTGGAAGGGACCTCAAGGGTCTTCGGGGCCAACCGTGCCCTCCTCGCATGATACTCTTAAATGATCCCTGTCAATGCTCATCTAGCCTCCTTTGAAAACCTCCCCTGCAGGAGACCCCACAGCTTCCCTGGGCAGGCTGCTGCCCTGCCTCAACTGCTCTAACACTAAGGGAGTATTTTCTTGATATTTAATCTAAATCTACTTGGCTGCAATTGAAAGCCATTGTTTCGCGTCCTGCTTTCTGCAGCAAGGGAGAACAGATGTTTTCCCTCTTCTTGATGACAGCTTTTCAGAGGTTTGAAGACGACTGCCTTGTCCCCCCCACTTAAATCGCCTTTTCTCTAAGCTAAACAAGCCTGGCTCTCCCAATTAGATAACTTGCCCCTTAAAGCTAGTCGCTAAGCAGTCAAAATTAATCTTCTCCAAATGCTTTTCTGCTGTTCTTGCCATCTGATAATATTCAGGCTGGGTAACCACAACCCGTCCCAAAAACCAACAGTAATGAAATCGCTCTGTAGATGACTGCCGCTAAATTGACTCTCTCACCACTGACCGAAATAACTAGTAAATTAAAATTGTCCAGGACACAAGGTGCACTGCAGGAGCTGCACGGTATTTGCTCGTATGCCAGACGCCCCCAAACAAGACATGCACCTGGAAGGCAGAATGTAGGGAAAAAAAGATATTTTTTCCGAGTCATGGCTGTGAACTGACTGCATGCAGCAGCTCACTTGCCCACTGTCTGCTCGCTGGCTGCTTCAGGCAAAAGCCACCGTGTTAATCCTTTCACAGCCGCTGATGAGTGTTGGCTACTCGGCCAAAAGTGGCTGCGAGAGGGTTAAAACTCGATTCTGTGCTTGCTGGCCCAGAGAGAAACAGCAGCCATTACAGCACAGCGTCTCCATGCTTCTATTCTGGCAAAGAAAATCACCTTTCCCGCGTCAGATATATACCCCAATTTTGGAGGAATGATTTATGGGGAAAAGGGTGCATATGGTTTATAAGTAAGTATGGTGGTTATTCCCTAGGGATGCATTTAGGTGATTTATAAAACACTTCCAAACTCTTCTACCTGAAGGACAGTCTGTAAATGCAATGCAAAATAGTCATGCTCGTATCTTAAGGCTGGTCTGCACCGGTAACGTTCAACGAAGGAGGAGAAATGTAATTTTCTTCAAGAAACTTAAACAAGTAACTTGATCCCCTCTGGGACTATGAAGAGAGGATGCAACCTTATAAAATTAAAGGGAAGCTTCCTATGCACTGAACTGATCCATGGAAATTGGCTTGTTTGTCTGCCCCACAGTACATGGAAGCTAAATTCTGGTAATTTGGCAGGTGTTTCATCTAGGAGCAAATTGCTCCATTTTAGCTTCCAGTTACTACAGAAGAAAGCAGGCACATGACACTTTTTTTAAAGTGGTATGACTGTTTTCTCTGTCCAGACCCTACGCACACCTACTTGATGTAAAGATTTCTGATCATTCTTTAACCTAGTATTTAAAAAAAGCATGAATGGCTGGAATCACAGAAAATTTGGGTTGGAAGGGACTCAGGAGGTCACATCTAGTCCAACCCCCTGCTCGAAGCAGGACCAGCCCCAACTGAAGCTAGACCAATTCCGATGCTAACTGTAAGGGTTAATTAACTACTGAACCAATTTACTGAAGAAACATGATGGATTGTGTACTGCCTGAATTCTTTTAAAAATCAGGGGCAGGCAATTATTTGGGCCCATGGGCCACGCAAGGAGGAACCGTGGCCCAGCCAGCAGCACCCCATTCCCCCGTCCCTCCCACCTCCCAGCAACAAGCTGCAGCCCGTGCGCCCTGTGCTTCTGCTCCACCACTGCCAACAGTGCACAGCCCCAGGCCCGACCCCGGCCCACCCCGTGCCTGCTCTGGACTTGCCCTGGCCAGAGTGGACCAGCCAGAACCTGCACGCACAGCCCCAAACCCGGCCTGCCCTGCACCTGCTCCAGGCTTGCCGACCCACGCTGAGCAGCAGCAGCAGCCAGGCATGGGGAAAAGTGGACTCTCCCCCGTCACTGCTGCCAGGCCCTTCTTGCTGCAGCCGCCTGGAGCCCGAGCCTGGGCTGCCCTGCGGCTTCTCTACACCACCACACTGCTGCCTCCAGGCTGCCCAGTGTGGCAGCGATGGCAGTGCAGAGGAGCCGGGGAGCAGCCCAGTACCATAGGGCTTGGGCCAGCAGCAGCTGGAAGGAGCCACCACTGCCTGGGCTGCCTAAAAAGGCAGTCCACCTGTGGAGCTGCCCCAGCCCCGCTATGTGCCCAGAGGGTGGCGAGACGTACCACGGGCCAGATGGCACCTGGGCCAGATGGGACCAAGGGATTTGCCACGGACTGGACAACCCCTCCCCCCCGCAAACCAAATCTGGCCCACAGGCCATATTTTGCCCACCCCTGCTTTAAATCAACACCGGATGTCTTTCATGCTCAAACTCAGCCAGAAGTTATGACCCCGATACAAAAATCATCGGTGCCGTTTCTTGCATGTATGATACAGGAAGTCAGGACAGAACCTAGAGGATTCTAATGATCTTTCCTGGTCTTAAAAGATTAATAGTTTTTCTTATCTTGGAAAGTGTCCACAGATGGACTTTACTTCAAAATAAAAGGGTTCTGGATTTAGCATCAATTGACTTCATTTTGTCTTTTACATTCAGTGCAAACAGGAGTTTTCTTCTGAAAAGAATACCCACACATGCAGATTTAACTGAAATCATAAAAATTATTATGAAAATCCGATTTAATCACTTCTCTACAAGTCTGAGTTTAAGCAAAGCCCCACACAGGCTGGCCAGCAAGGTAAGGATGTGCAAAACAGCAGCAATTTCTGATGTTCTTTCTAGCCTGAAGAGTCACAAATGGTGACCTACTGCTGAGATGTAAATACCTATACTCAGATACAGGGAGCAGGGGTGAGGGCAACCATTAATGCACCACACTGTATTACTCAACAGGCTCTTTGGAAGAGTCCTGGACCCAACTCAAACTGCAAGGGCTAAGGTAGGCACAGTAAAATCCCCAGACCCACTGGCATTTACATTCTTCATCCATAACAAACATCCAGGAAAAAGGATGGGGGCCCCGAGTTAAAGATTCACCCCACAGGAAGCATCTCCACCGAGTGCAATGAATGCCATGCCATGTTTGCCCACTCGGACACAACATCACCCATTACATTTCCCACTGCATACTTGCATCCCCCATCCAATCCTGTTGTACTTGCAGACCGGATCACAGCACGAAATCATCCGGATCTAGGTCTCATCTTTCTCAGTCAAAGTCTACCCACTAAATCATTGGGCGTTTTCACCTTTAACTGAACTCTCTGCTTGATTTACATTACAGTGATTTATATTTTAACCCAGTTCTCCCAGTCTGAACAAAAC